ATTCAATGCTATCTAAAGACTTAGATCGTTCTTGTTTCCTCAATAACTTACTACTAAGATATTCCATTCCTGACGACCTCCTTAGCTCCTCAACAAATAACTCAGATCTCAGAGAATGGGTATTTAAGCATGATGCTCTGCTAGATAGACACTTAATTTTAAAAACACAGTCTGCTACCTGGTTTAAATCATTTAAGAATGATCATTTTAGATCACCTTATCTGGTTAATATAGATAATCATAACCTTAGAGCAGCGTTTACATCTTTGCGCTTTGAATCAATGCCTACGGCCTTGTTGGTCGGCCGTTATAATAGAACACCTAAGGCACAGCGTTTATGTATTTGTGGCTCTTCTGCTATTGAGGATCTCTCCCATTACATTTTTGATTGCTCATTGTACTCCCAGCCTAGGTCAAAATTTTTATCTGGTATTTTATCAGTTTTAAGCTTTTATTCAGTCCCAGAGAAGATTATATTTTTGCTAGCCGATGCCAATGCCGATGTATCCAATAGAATGGCTTTATTTGCCTTGGCTGCAAGGAAAATACGGGCCAACGCTGCTTCTAGCCAATACTGATTTTAGTGGGTATGTTGTGAATTAATTAACTGTTCATAACCTCGATTTTATGGATTTATAATGTTGGACTGTATCTTATTTTATACAATTTTAAAGTTTTAGTGTGTTCTTCTTTGTCTGTGGTTTGTAATGGCCCATGGCTAAATACAATAAAATCTTCTTCTTCTTCTTCTTCTGGTGGAGGCTCCAGTTAGCTACTGATGGGTTTATCTTTTTGGGCTTTTTCTAACTGCCTTTTAAGATGGGTTTGACAACCTCTTGCAGCAGCAGATGTTCTTAATGGAGGTGTAGGAAGACCAAAGTCACCATTTCTCAAAGTGAAAAAAGCAACAAAGGCTACAGTCTGAAGAACACTTCCCTGGGAATAAGTCTGATTGAATAAGATAGGAGTTACGGAGTTACTTCTGATTAGACCTGCTTAAGATTGCTCTCAAGATATTTCAGTTCTTTGGTTGGCTTGCTAATATAAGTGATGTTGAGGACATGTTTGTATTTTGTAGCAATGAATAATTTTGAAATACTTTGTTTGATCCTTTTTCCCTCCAACAGCTCGTGCTCCGAAAATGGTGTGAATTAATTCCTGGAGCAGAATTCAGGTGTTTTGTAAAGGAAAACAAGCTTATAGGTGAGTATGTTGGGAATAGTTCTTGTTTCACTGTGGCTTTTAAGTTTTGTTTGCAATAAGTGGTGTAACCCTCTTCTTCAAGAGTGTGCAGCATGATCTGTCCACCATCCCTTTTTGGCTGTTACGGTACTTAGAATGGGCTCATGTCTTCTTGGTGGGATCTCTCCCTCTCTCTTTTTAAAGTTGTTCAGAATCTGAGGCTTGATTAGGGTTGCCAGAAGCCTGCTGATGGCAGGAGGGCTCCCACTGGTGGGCCAGCCCTTGGTGTCTGGACCAGCAGAAGAAAGGTCCAGGGGCAGAAATGACATTGCCTGACATGTCATCTCCATCCAAAAACCTGGATGTGACGTAAGCACATTGAGCGATGCTCTGGCTGTCTCCAGAATCTCCATGGTACTACTTACCTAATCCCTAGGCCTTACATACAGGCTATACTTTGTTTCAGTTAGCCATATTTCTTGGTCAGAGATTTAAAAATCTGGTCGGTATCTTCAACAATTGACATTTTCACCTCTGCCGTTACTTAATAAGATAAAGTTAGTTTTCTAGTAAAGTCTTCTTCAAGACCTTCTGGTAAGCTGAACTTAGCATAGTTTACTGTTTGAATAACAGTGGCTTTCAGATTCAACTGTATGTATTTTTTTCCTCTATCACCCTGCCAGTGCCTTGTACTGCATGTGGAAAAAATGCAGCAGGCTGTTGTAATTGTTACATCAGTGTGCTTTCTGGGTTTGTCAGGTTGTCTGGACTGGTAGCAACCACAACACTTTGTTCTTTCATTCTCTCCCTGCAAGGAGCTCAAGGTGGTGTATATTCCCCCTCTTCTCTTTTTATTCCTCACAATGATCCTATGAGGTCGGTTAAGCAGAGAGAGAGTGACTGGCCTAAGGTCCAACTGTGAGTTTCAGGGTGAGCAGGGATTTGAACCTGGGCCTGGTACTAATCACTGCCCCACTCAGGCTGTCAGATAAGAGAGAGCTGCCCACATTTGGAATGGCAGCAGCCTACTTGGGTCAGAGTTATGCAATGGCTGACCTTGGCAAGTCACTGTCTGTTCACTTGCCTATCTCATGAGAGAAGTGGTGAGGCCAAAGTGCTGCTCTGAGTTCATTGGAGAAAAGGGGGGGGGGAGGACAAAAAGAAATTATTATTTGTGGAAGCATGCAGGTTTCTTTCATGGGTTTTGTACCAGGAGGAAGATTATCTGCTCAGGAAAGAAAAGCTGATTCCACTCATTTTTTCCTTACTTGTGCCAAGTAGTAAGACCCATTACATAGACTTGAGTAGGATAGTGAGTAGATCTGCTTAGGCTTGCTCTCTAAGGATGTGCAAGGCAGAAATGGCTTCCTCCTTGATGCCAATGTCTTGTTAAAATAAGTCCTGCCAAATTTCAAGTACTTTCAGCGAGAAACTTTCAGGCATTGTATCTCAGCAGTAGTGCCTAATACCCAGTGTTAGAAGCTTTTTTAATAACAGAAAAGGGATTATTTATAAACAATTCAACTTTGGTTTACATTCCATTGGAACTGCCTTTTTTAAAAAAACCTACCTGAGGCCTTTGTGGGTGTCAGTAAGGAAAAAGAATAAATGGTGAGCTGTCTTTCTGTCTGTCAAAAGAAATCCCATAGGAATAGGGTTGCCAAATCCATAGCTGGGCTGGAGCGGGAGACTCCAGCCCAGCTCTGGGAGTGTGTGCGTGCGTGCTTTGCGCGTGCCGCAATCCCGTCACCCTGAAGTGACATGCATGTTGCGTGCTTTGGGGGTGGGGTTCCCCCCAGGGCCCGATCCGCCAGCGGCAGGGAACAGGCCTCTGGGGCGGGGTTTCCCTGCCCCCCAGGGGGACTTGGCAAGCCTACATAGGAACCACATTTCAGGCTTCTCACTGTGGACACCATTTCTGCTCATTACACTAGCAATGCATGGCTGATACGATTTTTCTTGGCAGGTATATCTCAGCGGGACTACACTCAGTACTACGAGCACATCTCTAAACAAAAAGAAGAGATCTGTAGATGTATACAGGAGTTTTTCAAGAAACACATACAATATAAATTCTTTGATGAAGACTGTGAGTATCATTTTAACTAACACTAGAAAAGAACTGGTGCTTTTTAGAAGTTAAAGGTTGTCTTTAAAATTGATTCTGGGGACTGGAATGCCCTGCTGTTCTACTTGCTGATCTTGGTGGATGCCATCTGCCGAAAATAGCCAGGCCAGGTGCCAATGAAATCATCCAACAAACCAGAAGTTACAGGTTCAGTAAATAAGTATGGAAACAGGAAGGAGGGAATCATGCATGTAGTCACATGTATAATTTGAAGTTTCTAATGCAGCTGCTTGCCCTGTGTTCAGGCAAGCAGTGGTTCACTTTAAAGTTGTTCAGCCTTGTGAAAAGCTGCACTAGAAGTTTCAAAGACACTTCCTTTGTGCACGCACAGTTTCTTAGAGTGAGGTTTCAGAAAGACTACAGCTGGCATTTTGTTATGCCTCAAGAAGGAAAGAATCAAATGCTTGTGACTTCCATTGTGGCTTTATAAAGCTCTTCACAAAATGTTCATCTCCTGTATGGCTTAGCTGTACATGGTGATATTCAATTTGTGAGAGATTATGGGCCTGGTTATATATGGTTCAGTCACACATATGAATGTATGATAGTTTTTTAATGACCCAGAAGTTGTCCAGTGGTTTTTCAGATAAACTGCTATTTGGTCCATGAAAATACATTTATTTACAGAGCTATAATTTTACAGGCTGTACTGGAGGAACATTTGAATTTAATCAGTTGAGACTGTTCTGATATCCAGAAAGGGAATAACATGACACTCTCAATTAACTGGGTTGGGGACAGAATTTTCTGGGAATGTTTCACAGGAAATTCCTGACAGTCGAGGGAGGTCAATGTCTCCATGAATTTCCTGTACAGGGCTATCCTGCCTCAGCAAAGACTAAAAATAAACCATTATATAGCAAGTGCATTTAACCAGAAAATCATACCTTTGTAACACAGGATAAAATCCCAGTAAGTTTAAGTAGGCTGAAATTCAGTTGCAATTCAGTAGGATTCAAATGATTGGGCCCCACTCCTCAGTGTGTTAGCTCAACCAGAGAGGGATACTCCATTCTGTTTGCTGTGGTCCCTAGCACTGTGGAATGGGGAAAATTATCCCTCTTGAAAGATGGCAAGAGTAAAATAAAAGTCACTGTGGTGTAGTGGTTAGAGTGCTGGACTAGTATCTGGGGGAGACAAAGTTCAAATCCCCAATCATGAAAGCTTGCTGGATGACCTTGGGCCAGTCACACACTCTCAACCCAGCTTAACTCACGGGACTGTTGTGAGGGCAAAATGGAGAAAGGGGAGAATGTTGTAAGCCACTTTGGGTCTCCACTGAGGAAGGGAAGTGGGCTATAAGTGTGTGAATAAATAAAATCAGTAAAATGGTAATAAAAGTGCTAAGAGAGACATCCAATACAATCCATGTTATGATGGTGATCATGGAATTCTTTATTCCACCCCCAACCTCGTGTTATTTACTAAAGGCCATAGTAGCAAACTCAGATTTGTCACCGGGTGTAGACTAGCAAAAGAGCCATAGCCTGGATCCCTGTTTAGTGTACCTGCATTTATATATTCAGGTGGGTAGCCGTCTTGGTCTGAAGCAACAGAACAAAGTTTGAGTCCAGTGGCACCTTTCAGACCAACAAAGTTTAATCTTGAGTATACGCTTTCATGTGCATACACAGTTCTTCAGATACTTCAGATACTTCTTCATATATCTGAAGAAGCGTGCATGCACATGAAAGCTTGTACTCAGAATTAAACTTTGTTGGTCTTAAAGGTGCCACTGGACTCAAATTTTGCATTTATAGATGTGTTTGCAAATGCAAGTATAGTGCTTTTGTACTTTACATTTCCAGGTGCCCATTTTAAACATCTATGGCTGCCTCCTTGCATTGTGATGCCTGGGGGGGGGGGAGTTGCTGTTGTCCACCCTTTTCTTCCCTTTGCCAGGGGGAGTCTTGCTTTCCAAGCAGGGTAAAGCTGGCAGAGAGGGACATTCCTGTCATGCAGCTCAGAGCCTCTCACTTTAGTCTGGTGATGCAGGAAGGTGCTGTGCTTGCATGCTTCCCGGGCTGCCTGTATAATGTTAGGAAGGGGGCCTTGGCCTGCGAGCAAAGGAAGCAGCCTTGAGCTTTGGCTTTGTGTTCTATAAGCACAGTAAAGGTACCTGTTCAGCTTCTTGTTTTTCCTCCTTTTTTCAGTTGTGTTTGATGTCTACAGGGACAGCTGGGTAAGTGAACAGTAGCCTTGTTGGTTTTGCACTATTCCTTGGTTATATTTGTTCTGTACAAAAACTACCGGTAGTACCCCCTGTGAGATGAGGAGAAATATATCTTAGCCTTGGGTTCTGCCATGGCAGGCAAGATAAACCACTGTAGTGCGTAATCCTAAAATAACCAAAAGGAAAATGGTCTTTCATAGATTCTCTGGTCAAAACTCCTGTTGCATCTCTGTGATTGCAAGATAGTCTTAGCTTCTCCAATGGTCTTGTTCCTGGAATAGACTAATGTGGATAAAACACATGAATGAATTAAAGAGAGGTATAGCTGTTGGAAGGAGTTGTTTAAAACTGCTGGTCACAGAAAGACTTTAAACTGTAGCCTAAAACTGCCTTGCCATATTTAGGACCGATTTATGCAATCAGTGGAAACGTGTAGCAAAGCTTTTCCTAGGATGTATGACTTCTGGGGTGTTTGTTTCCCCCATCAACCTTCCTAAGTGTAGTATAGCAGGAAGAATGCTTGGTTAAGCTCTTTTCTGTGCCTTGTTTATTCCCTTTGTGCCTGAGGTTTGGGCGGGGAGAGCATTCATACATGCAATCCCACGACCTGTAGCACTACAGTTGATTTAATAAATCTGATGGTTATGTAAATTGGCTCCGAGCCACACAACCTGTAGGCCCATTGTTGTGATGAAGAAGAAAATACTGGAGGCTTATTATTTGCCTCCCTCCACACCCATACAGGCAAATAGAATTTCGCTGGTCTGGACAACTATTGCCTGTAAAGTCATTATCTTGTGTTTGTATTCTTTTTTGTCACTCCCTGTTGATCATCAAAACCTAATAGCCTTTGTTTATAAACTAACTGGGCTGCATTCCTATAAATGCCGAATTGTCAGAGTGAGCATGTCTTGTCCAATCTTGCTTTTCACCTCTGCCTACATTTTTCACACACCTCTTTTGGCTAAGTAAATGCTTTATTCAAGGTGACCTTTTTGGTGCTTAAATGGCCAAGAGTTTCTAAAACTGATCATATTGTTGCTTCTGCCTTTTGTAGAAGCAGTCATTCCCCAGAAACTCTCTGGTATGGTTGGTGGCTTTCTCTTGTAACTGCTGCAAAGTTCTGAAAGAGGAAGTATCTCAGCAGAAACCTGGTTGTTGTTACCACTAGGGGTGTACTAGAAAAAAATGGTATTTTTCAGATTTGGGTATATCAGACCTGAAAAATATGGGTAAATAATGAATTTCCCAAGTACTGATACGAGTACAATATTCCCACTCAGGAAATATGTGGTATTTCTGAATGTATTTGGGTCTTATTATACCCATGGGGAGTGAAGGGAGAGTGAGAAGGCATGTTTAAAAGCCTTCGCTTCCCTCCTTGAGCTGCCCAGCCACTTCCATTGGTCAGTTTCACTCCCCTCCGGACAGCTGTTAGGTTTAGGCCATTTAAACCTGACTAGTGGAGGGGAGTGAAAGTGACTAGTGGAAGTGGCAGGAAGGAAGGGAGAGAAGGCATGTTTAAATGCCTTCCCTTTCTTTCTCCAGCCACCCCGCTGCAGAAGGGCGGCTGAGAAAGGAAAGAGAGATACGGCACATTTAAATGTCTTCCCTTTCCTTTCTTTCCCTCCCCACGGTGGGGAGGCTGGGAAAGGAAACAGAGAGAGAAAGGCATGTTTAAAGGAAAGAGAAGGCATGCCTTCCAACATTAAAGTGGTCAGTTTCACTCCCCTGGGCTTGGAACTGAGAGGAGTGGAACTGACGAGTTTAATTTCGGGAAGGAAAGGGAAGACATTTAAACCGAACAGCTGACTGGCAGCTTCGCCTGTCAGCTGTTAGGTTTAAATGGGTGGCAGCTCGGTTTCAGTATAGCTTAATTAACCTGAATAAAAGCCAAATAAAATTAGCTTTTTTCAGGCTCAGCTATATCTGTAGCCAAATACAGATCTCGGTATTTATTTGGCTCAGTTTACTCCAAATGTACACCCTTAGTTACTACTGTATTGGAGTGTTTTGTTTTAGTACAATTTGCTTTAACTCCGTAACACCTGAATGATTTAATGAAGGAAAAGCAGTTCTGTTTTGTTTTGGGGTTTTTGCCCCCGGAGGGGATTTTTTAATTTTTTATATAAACTACAAAAACTACTACAGAAAAACAGGGAGAGGGACTACACTTACGGGATAAAGAAAAGAAACCCACATCTAACTAAAACCCAAAGAAAGAAGATCTTCAATAGCTTAGTTACTTTTAGTCTTCCCTTCTATTTAACATAAAACAAATTGAGTCAATCATTAACAATATCTTTTCTTTTCTAAATTTTTCTCACTTCCCTGTCTAGCCGCAAAACCCTCCCCAACCATTTCTCCTCATCTTCTCAGGCACAATTCAAAGTCCTTCAGCCTTTACTTCTCTCTTCCACGCCTTTTCCGAAGCTTATAAGGACTTTTTGGGGCAGCCACCCCCTTTTTATCCAGAGTCCTCTCCGGAAGACTCAGAGTCCAGCTCGCCGCTAGACTTGCTGTCCTCTTCTTTTTGTTCCTCCTCTGTTTTTCCCAGCTGAATCTTCAAAAATTCTTTAGCTTTTAAGGCAGAGTCAGTCTTTTCTTTTTTTATCTTTCATCTTGAAAGTGACTCCCTCCGGAAATAACCATTTATATCAAATTTGATTGGTCTGAAGAAAAAGCACCAACTCCTTGTATTTCTTTCTACGTTGTCTCACTTCAAATGGAATATCCTTAAGCGTTCTGATAACACTTTCTCCCACTTTCAAGGGAACTCCAGACACCGCTTTCAGGATTGCATCCCTCACATGTCTCTCTCTCTTTTTTTTAATTGACTCTCCTAAAAAGGAGAGAGTTTATTCTTTTTTTCATATAAGAGGGGGGTATATAGTGGGATAAAGAAAAGTTTGGGTGATATTAATATTAGTATGTTAATCTTTTACTAGTGATACACAAATCTTCTTTTGGCTTCTTCTGTGAGTTGTCAATCGTCTTTCATCTTTACCTGTAAAGAAAATAAAAACTGTTAATGGATTAGTAGTGTCCCTCTGGTTTTTGTTAGTAAAGTCTTTTCGTGCGCTTTCCGAACTTGTCTTCATGGTCTGGGCAGCCTCCCTTTCACGTCTCTCAGATTGTATGATGGACCCTTTCCTGCTCCTTTATCTTCCGGGGTCCTGACTTCCCCCTCCGAGCCGCTGTCTCTGTCACTGTCCAATTCCTCCCATTTGGCGAATGCTGCTTCCTCCGAGCCGGCGTGCCTCTTCAAAAAGTCTTGAGCTTTGAAAATGGAGTCAATCTTCTCCCTTTTATCCTTGAACTTGAAAGTAAGTCCTTCTGGAATCAACCAGCGATAATTGATTTGGTGGTTCTGCAAGAATAAGGTCAGTCCCTTGTATGCTTTCCTTTTCATTCGAATTTCAAATGGAACATCCTTCAAGATCCTAATTGTCTGCTCTCCAATCTTCATGGGCATTGATGAAGATGCTTTTAATATTTGATCCCGAACTTTCTGCTTTGTAAACTTGACCACCACTTCTGCCGGCAGGTTTTTCAACCTTGTAAAATTGGAATAGGCTCTGTAAACCAGATCCATTTCCTCGCTTATTTTTTCCGCTTCCCAGCCGGTGAGTGTTGCCAAAGCTTCCGCTAAAATGCCTCGGAGATCCTCTTTTTCCAATTCTTTTATGCCCTGAAATGGAGAGTCAAATTTGATTTTCCATTTGAAGCATCATTAACTTTTTATCTTGCATCTCCTGGTGTTTTTCTATTTTGTCTACCTTTTTCTTGACCTTTTGAGTATCTTCTGTTGAGACCAGGCACTTTTGCGCGATTTCTTCCATTTTCTTGGCTGTATCGTTTAACTGAGTCTGCTGGGTACTGAGGACACCTTCCATATTTGTCAATGTTTGGTTGAGCTTTTGCATTTGCTCCAGCAGACGGCGCAGAAGGTCGCTCTCCTGTTGATTGACAGCTGGCTCCAAGAGGCGGGAGCCAGCATCGGAAGTTCCTCCCAGCTTCTTTGCCGGCTTGTCCTGAAACTTTTTCTGGCTCGACATCTTGGTTTTTTGTTTACTTTTTAAAAGTTCGTGCTGCGCGGCTACAAAATGAGATTCCCTGTGTCTCTTCTAACAATTCACCAAGAGGTAACACTGCTCTTTTCAATTTTCACTCCCCCCCTCTCTTCCTGTTAAATCAGTCTTTGTTTCACAGGGTAGGGGGGGAATCTCCTCCCTCCTCCCTTGCAGTTTTTCAAAAAAGGGGGGGAACGCGCTCGATTCTTTTTCTCCCATTCCAACTGGCAACTCACAGTTATGGCCGAAAATCTTCTTTTAAACGCTCATCCGCTTTATCACCCGGTGACGACCGGCGGCTCTGCTAGTCCCCGTACGGGGCACTGCCGCAGCTAGGGCCATTGGGGCATGGGGCGAGCCTCAATTTCCGACCATCCGGCTGATAAAGAGGCTCATCCCCTGTGCGCCCCGGATTGGAGCCCCCTGCCTGGGGCTCTTTGGGGTCTCCGCTTGTGCGGATTCCCCCCCTTGGCGAGACGACTTCAGGAGCGTTCCGAAGATGCGTCCGCCATTCGCGAAGTCCAATCCCTCACATGTCTCTTAGAGACTCTTATCACAATTTCCCCAGGCAGATTATTCTTTTTTATATATCCTGAATATGATCTATAGACCACATCCATTTTGTTTGACAGCAATTCTGGTTTCATTTCTGTCACTGGGGCTAACAGCTCGCACATCATTTCTTTAAGATTCTCCTCCGGTTTTTCTGGCAGGCCTTGGAAGCGAAGAACCATGTTGGCCTTATCCATTTGTACTTGCAGCATCTGATCTTCCAAAGATGTTGTCTTTTCTTCCAGCTTTTCCACCTTCTTTTTTACTTTTTTCGTGGTTGCAGTCACCTCCTTTATTTTTTCAGCATCCTGCTTCATAACTTGTATCATGTCTCCTAACTGCGTTTGTGTTGCAGTTATGCTTTCTGTCACCTTTGCCATCTGGTCTTTAAAAATATTCAACTGTTCCAGCAGAGGGCACATACACTCTGCTACAGCCTTAGTTGTATCGCTAGCCACTTCCGTTCTAGGACTCTTTGGTCCTTTTGTTTTTAACAGTCTGTCTTTGTCCTTCCCCGCCATCTTGTCTGATTGTTTACTTTTCGGAACTATGCGAAGGTCCCTGAATATGCACCAAAGCGTTTGAAATCCTTCAGGTGAGTGCCTCTAGACAGATCCCTGCACGTTTTCTTCCGCTCCCCTCCCTCTCGCGTTTATTAGAGTTCGTACTTGTGGGCATCGTGCGGGAGGTGTCCCCCCCACCGCTCGCCTCTTCCGCTCAGTATTCAGGTTAAGGGAGCTTCTTTAGTTTCAAATCGCTTTGTAATGACTCACGTTCATTGCTGGTCTTCCGACCTCGTTTTCTGGATCATTTCAGTCGCTGGATCTTCTTCGTTTGACCCGGCCAGCGTTGCTAGTGCCATACGGTCTCGCCACCCGGGGAACCACTGGAACAGAGAGGCGCCTCAATTCTCGGGCATTCCGCCCTTGAAAAGGTCGCCTCTTTAAAGTTCCCTGGCCCAGGACTCTTCCCCGAGCCCCTGGGGGGTCCACGATCCTGCGTGGCCCCTTCCCCCGGCTGGAGCACAAACCTATCTCGGGAGGTCCGAGGAATAGGTCCGCGAACGCGCCGCCATAAACCAGAAGTCAAGGAAAAGCAGTTCTTCATCATAGGATAGAAGATAGAAATTGTAGATTAGTCAGGAAGCCTGTGTTGCTGTAGGGGAATGAATGAATGTTTTTTAATACCTAAGGCAGTCTTCCTGGAAAACTCATGTCCACACTTTTTTCTGCCTTATTTGGGGAAGGCAACAGTGACTGGGCTCTATAATAATTTTCTCAGTTTCTCTGTGGCATATTTCAAGTTTGAGAGCCAGTATGGTGTAGTGCAGGGGTTCTCAACTTTTTTTTAGTCATGGCCCTTGTGAAATTACAAGGAGTCGTTACCGGCTAAATATCAGAAGAAACTTCCTAACTGTAAGAGTGGTTGAGCAGGTTGGGGAATCATCCCGAGGGGTCCCACCATATGATACCTCTAGGAAGACGTTGGCTTGTGATTGTGAATCCAGTGAGTGGGTGGCAGCGACTACGGAAGTAAAATAGCCCCACCCCCACCAGGCAGGGGCAGGCAGGCAAAAACTTCCCGAGCCACACAGTGGCTGGCTTGTGTGGGTCCCCCCGCCCCGTTCCCAGCAGTGCAGGAGAGTCACACAGAGACGTCTCCCTTACAACCCCAGAGGCCCCTCCTCCATGCCCAGAAGCGCTTGTTGCCTAGCCTGCTCTGGAAATCCAAAGGTGGGCTGCCCAGAGGCTGAAAAGGAGTTGGGATTGGGAACTTGGGAGTCGGGCTTGGTCCCCTGTTCAGGGAAGGGGACAGCAGCAGAACCTGTGCACTGCACGCCCCTCCCCCCAACCACACCCAGCCCGCCTGCTCCATGGCCAGGAGAGACTGTAAGGAGAGATGACTACTAGTCCGCTCCGCTTTGGAAATCCAAAGGTGGCCACTGGCCACAGGCTAAAAAAGGATTGTTACCATTGACCAACCCCCCACTCTCAACAATTTGCCCAAAACCTCCTGCATTGCTGGGAACGGGGCGGGGAGACCCACAAGCCAGCCGCTGTGTGGCTCGGGATGTTTTTGCCTGCCTGCCCCTGCCCGGTGGGGGTGGAGCTATCTTACTTCCTTGCTGCCACCTTCCTAGAGGTAGCATACGTGGGACCCCTCTGGATGATTCCCCAACCTGGGAATCATCCTATCTCAATCTTTGGGCACCACCTGGAGAGTTGGCAGCCACTCTAATTTGGGGGCATCTGGGTTCCTCTGGCCTCCCTTTGCCTCTCTTCAGGTGCGCTGAGTGGGGATTCGCACGCACACCCCTAGTGATTGCTCACGTCACTTGCACAGGCCCTGCCTGCCCCCCCCTTCATTTATACTGCAGAAATCCTCAGGTTTGGACTGAGTCCAGTAAGTTGGGTGACTGGCACAGAGGTTGTTGGGGGGAAGTTGAGATTGCTCTGGTTCTGCAGCTGGGCATGGCTGCCATTAGCAAACATGCTCCCCTATGTAGGCCGCTGCCACTGCAGAGGGGAGAGATTGTTTTGCTTTTGGGGTTTTTTGGGCACTGGCACATTGGCACACTTGTGGTGGACTGGTTCTGCTGCTGGGCCTGGCTGGCTGGCATTGGCATTGGCGATGCACATACATGCTCCCTCAGCCTGTGTGCTGCCGCTCCAGTGCAGTCTGGAGAGATTCTCTGGTTTGACCTAGTTCTGGTTTTGGGGCACTGACTGGCATGGCAACCTGGCTGGCCTGGCACAGGTGGCAGATTGCTCTTGTTCTTCTGTTGCAATGCTGGGGCCTGGCTGGCATGCACTTGCTTGCTCCCTCAGTCTGTGGGCTGCTGCTGCTGTCTGCAGAAATTCTCTGGTTTGCACCAAGTTGGTCTGGGCACTGATTGGTTGCACCTTGGCACAGGTTGTGGGGGGGGCAGATTGCTCTGGTCCTGCTGCTGGGCCTGTCTGTCTGGCATTGGTAATGCACAGACATGCTACCTCAGTGCTGCTGCTGTAGAGAGATTCTTTGGTTTGAGCCAAGTTGTGTTGGTTTTGGGGTTTTGGGCACCCAGTTTGGCGGCACAGGTTGTGGGGGGGCACTTGTATGGTTCTTCTCTGCTGCAGTGTGGCTGGGGCTGGCTGGTCTGGCAAAAGTTTGCAAACATGCTGTCCAAAAGAAAGCAGAAGGTTAAAATCCCATTGAAATGCATTGCCGCCGAATTTCGGCGGCAAACCGGGAATACAGCAAGCTGATCTGGGGGGACTGGGGGCACCCTCTTTGGATGCCCCTGGAATCGGACCCCCTGGACCAATCTTCTCGAAACTTTGGGGGTCTTTCGGGGAGAGGCTTGAGCAGCCACGGTCCAAATTTGGAGGCTCTACCCCCTCCCCCCCAGCCCCCCGCAAAGTTTCAAGAGGTTTTTTGCCATTGACTTCAATGGCCCCATTGGTTATAATGGACCCGAATTTTTCGGGTTTCCCGAATTTTTTCGGGATTCGGAAAAATGCATAGGAAGCCATTTCGGGATTGCAAAAGCCGAAAAAAGCCGAAAAACGTTATTTTCAGCTTTTTTTCGGTTCGGGATCCCGAAATGCACATCCCTACTCAGGACAGAGCAGCACCCTTTTTGTCTGTTATGTACTTGTCCCCTCCTTTCACCCTTCAGTCTTGTGAATTTTAATTAGGGCTACTTGGCTATAAACAGATTTCTAGGGCATGATTAATCTTAGAGATTAATTAGTATTTATCTCTAGTTCCAAATGTTTTGTAGTAGAAAAAATGGCAAGATTCCCAATTATGGCATCTTCTAATCTGTTTCTAAGATGTCTTTTGAAAGAACACACACAGAAGAATGGGGTAACTGAACTTTCTGTGCTTGTTTGGATGAGCTCAAAGAACAGATTCCTTCTCTGATAGAGCAGTCCTGTGCAGCATCTTCCTTACTGAGGCCTGAAAATGTTATCAAATGTAGGCGGTTATCAAATGACGTATACAGTTATGATGGTGACTGGCATTGTTATGCTTTAAATTTTCTTTTACCTTGTTCCATGTGAATAAACATGTTTTTCCTTTAATATTCTTCTTTTTCTTCAGGGAAGGGTGTGGCTAATTGATTTCAATCCCTTTGGTGAAGTAACAGATTCCCTGCTCTTTACATGGGAGGAGATGCTCTCTGGGAATACCCTGAAAGATGAACAGAGTGAAGGAGCAGTGATGGAACAGGTAAGAGGAAAACACTTTTCATGTAGCCAAGAAAGCCATTAAGCTAGTCTTCCAAGCTTCTGTCAGCTTGGATGTCTTGATAACAGGATTTCTTTTGCTGTATAGAAGTTTCTACACAGATAATTTTGTCTTCTTGGAAACAAATATATTATTAGAGAGAACAAGCGGTATGGGGCTAAGGCTGACATTTTGTGCTCCTAGATGTGTTTTCTGATACAATCCTGTGAAAGGGCACATGTGGACAGTTTCAATGAGAATCTGCCAGCAGCATTTGATAGGTTCCACAGGGAATTCTTTCTCCCCAAATGCTGTTGTCTTTAGCCACTGATGGGATCATCTCAGAAGTGAAACCATGAGCTCAAAACATCACGTTGGGGATAGTCAACCCAGCCAAATCTGAGGCTACTTATATCTGGAGAATGAAACAGTGAAGAGACAAAATAAATCTTTTGACAAAAATCTGAACTCTAAAAAAAAATGTGGGTTTAAAAAAATCCTAAAAGGAGCGCCTTTGGCTTTGCAGAATGGATGCCATCAGTGGCTTTTGCTACCTAACCACAACAGTATTGTCAGCCAGTTCCAGCCTTGGTTTCTGTCAGGTAAAGGCAGGGGGAGTAGGCAGGACCTTTTCCAGGGCTGTTTTGTCCTTTGAGAGAGCAACAACCACTAGGTGACTTCCTACCAGGTGACTTGCATGAGTCAACTAGGCCTGGCTGCTTGCTACTGTTCAACAGCAGCCACTCCTCAAAAGTTGTGTAGTGATTAGAGTTTCAGACTAGGACCTCGAGTCCCCATTCTGCCCTGGAAGCTCACTGGGTGGCCTTGGGCCAGTTTATTTATTTATTTATTTATAGCTTCAATTTCTAGACCGCCCTGACCCCGGAGGGTCTCTGTGCGGTTTACAGGTTTCAATGTTACTATCCCTAACTATGGCCACATAGTGAGGGGGAGGGGCTACCTACCAGCAACCTAGTGGTGGGCATTGTTGTTTCTCCGGCTCGGCACTTTTTTTGCGAGGTCTTCTTATGAGGTCTTCGGGTCGGCACTTCCATCTGGTGTTCGAGACGGATCGTGGTGGCTTCTTTTTCCCGGCGGTCCGTTCTTAGGGCGCAATCTCGTGTCCGCTCCGGCATCAGCTATGTCCACATTTGGCTCCGCTGCGCCTGCAGTTACACATTCTCAGCCTAATTTGCCTCACAGGCAGGGGCCTATTGGCCATTAAAAGCACCAGGATGCTTCCAAGTGACCCAGTGGCCTCCCTACCCCAACCTGGGCCACGCATGCCAGGAAAGCAGTACCTGGCCAATATATATATAAGGCAGACTGTTTCCCCTCCTTCCCTTCCCCCCTTTCAGACGGAATATCAGAATCAAGCAGACTGCTTCTTCCTCCCTGCTTTGGTGGTCAGGGCCAGGTTGGGGTGAGAAAGGAGCCTGTTTTCCAGGGACTCATTTCCAGTCTGCCCTGGCTCAAAGGATTTTTTTTTTAGGATAAATGGCGGAAAGGAGAGTAATGTAAGCTGCTTTGCATCACCATTGTGGAGAAAGGTGGGCTATAAATGAGGTGGATAACTAAGTATAGTTGAAGATGGAGGAGTAGGTAAAAATTGGGTGGGTGGGGAGGAGAGAAGGAAGCAGAGAAGGGTGAGGATATGGGGATTACCAGGTGGAGAGAAAGAGGAAATAGTGTGGGGAAGCTTGGGACCAGGGAAATTGGATGCCCCTTGCAAGTCCTAGCAGTTTCCTCACTGTGCAGCTGAGCTATAGTTTTCCCAGGTAGAGGGTGCCAGGGGTAGAAACCTAAAGATGGTGAAGAGAGAAAGGTAGGTTGGCTGGTGGATGGGAAAGAGAGGAGGCAGGAAAGGGGGAGAGGCTATGGCAAATTTCAAGGAAGGAAAAGAGGAAATAGTGAAAGGGAAATGAGATGTACAGTGCAAGTCCTTACAGGTTCCTGCTTGTCTTGAGATAATTTCCTAAAACAGTGCTTTGGGTTCTACTGCACATTTCTTCAAAGCACAGCTACCTTACCTTCCATCCCCCTTGATGCAGCCCAAAATGCCCCTCGAAAAGCTGTTCCTGAGGGAATAGGCAACCCCCCAAAATAGTATGAGGGGTAAGTAGTGGAAGGAGGGGCAGGATTGGTGAGAATTGCCCCTGTCCATCAGCTGAAATCCTTCACAGGATCCAGCCCAATGTCCACGTAAGAGAAAACAATGTGCAGCCTATGATTTTGTCAGATTACCTATTTGGCATTGTAGATTTCAGAGAAACACAGTAACGGTCTTAAACAATAAATTTACTTTCTTGATTGTAAATCTAACTGATTATTTCCTCTCCCCACCATCACCATTAGGACTGTCCCTCGTTCCGTTGCACAAACAGTAACCTCACTGTCCAGCCAAGTCCCTACCTCAGCTACAGACTCCCCAAAGATTTTGTCGATCTTTCCAGTGGAGAAGATGTACACAAATTAATCGACCTGTTGAAACTAGTAAGTAAATGTTCTAATGGAAGGATTTGTCTTCAGCTACGGAAGGCAAAAAGCACCAAAGCCTTGGTGGGCTGAGAGTGATTGTTGGACTAAAGAAATCCATGTGTGCCATGAGGAGGGAGGCACTCAAAACAGATACCTGCCTCTGCCGTCAGTCAGCCTTAGGCCAGGCTTGCAAGTATATTCCACTGAGGTAACTAGTTGCCAGTTTGTTCTTGTCTAATGGGGCATGGTTCTTAAACAGTAGTTCTCTTTCAAAATCAATTATTTGCTTATATGCACTGTTAATGAGGTTAATAGTGCCCTGCAGGTGCAAAGAAAAGTTTAAATAGGCATGTCAAAGAATGCAGATTGAAATCTCAACAGTAACATTGCATGGGGTCCTTCACCATTGTTCTGTTGATGGAGACTGCAGAAAAGGAAAGAACATCAGTAGAGTTATGGTGGAGTATTTTGCTGTGTGATTTATGTATGCATTAGAGCACAACTTGGTCTACTGCCAAGACAAGCCTTTGGCCTTCACAAAGGCTTCTTGAGGGTGGGTACCCAGGGTATAACATGGTACAGCATCTGCACAAATTTTTCTAATTATGATAAAAGTGATGTGCTGGCCACATGATTCATAACTGAATAAAACTTTCTCCTGCCCGCACACCTGCGGACACCTACTTTAGTGGTCTTTCTGAATTAAAAAGCCACCAAACGCTTGAGCCCTCGGATCATAACAGATCTGTCTCCAAAGATTGTAGTAGCATCTTGGAGAGTTTTCCAAGGGGCTATGAATTCCTCTACTGAGCTTTTTCTATGGCTCCAGCAAGTGTTAAAAAGAACTGGATTATAAAAATGAACCTTGTTATGTTAATGGTGATTATAACAAAGATCAGGAAAGGCTATTCTGGTCCTGTCTTGGCATAAGCCAGCAGGTCCATTGGTCCGTTAGCAACATGCCTTGCTTAACTCAGTCATTCTGTCCCAGCAAAAATTGCTGGGTCAAGCAGCATCAAGACATTGAGTAGAAAACTGTGTAATATTTAATGATCCATTGCACCATTTAAACAGTTATGTTTGAACAAGGAAATTTCTATTCTGAAGAGCCAACCTTTGAACCAGTTTAGAGGATAGTGGTTGGCTTCAGTTACTCAACCAGAACCCATTAGATTTCAATTTCCCTACTTAAAAAAGGAGATTTCATTGCACTGTCTGTTAATACAAATGGAGTTTCAGTGCCCTCTGAGAATTGCCAGGCTTTCTGGAATTCTGTGGCTTTTGAGTGAATATTCTCTTTGTTGATGATGGTCAGAGGGCATCTGAATTGCTAATACTAGACGACAGAAATCTCATTTTTGTTCAATTTCTAAAACCAGTAAGGATCAGATTCTACTTCTGCTACTTTAGAGTGTGCCCTAGAAATTTATTTATTTATTTATTTGTCAGCACTGACCTTCTCTAGAAAGTAGCTGTAACATTAAATGCAATTGTCTTTAAGGTATCTAATCAATTTCTCGGTTGTCTTTTCAGAAAAGAAACCAGCAAGATGATGAGGAATCGTAAAGTGCAGGATGAAAATGAAACAAGATGGGAGGCTATAGTTTGGTGGAAGGGAAGCAAGTTTTTAACACCCACCAGCTCAGAGAAAAACTGATTTTTATATTGTGCTCACATAACTGTGACAAGGCCAGTTTTGTTGGAGCACTTTATTAAACACATGTATCTTCATCAGACTTGTGGGTGATTATTTGGAGTCCAGCCAACACTTAGGTATGCCATCCTGGCTCCCTCCTACCTTCTGATGGCTGCTTGTGAAATATCCTTTGCAATCCATTCCAGTAGCGCTGCTGCTGCTATATATGTCCTCTGAACCAGAACTATCCCTTTTGAAGGTAGGACGGGTAGCAGCCATAGCTCTTTTAGACTTAAAGAGAGAACTGGAGCCCTCTTCACTGTTTTTCAGGAAAGCAGCCAAGCCATCGGTGTGAGGGACCCCATGCTTCCCACAGGCTCAAGGCTTTCTGCTTTGACGTTCACAACATGGCTGTGTGTTACATTGACCAGACCCTTTTTTCTAGTTAACTTATGTGCAGTACTATGTCCTCAGGGACACCAGTTTGGTGTAGTGGTTAAGTGTGCGGACTCTAATCGGGAAGAACCAGGTTTAATTCCCCACTCCTCCACTTGCACCTGCTGATGTGACCTTGGGTCAGTCACAAGCTCTGGCACAGCTGTCCTTGAAAAAGAGCAGTTTGTGTCAGAGTTCTCTCAGCCCCACCCACCTCACAGGGTGTCTGTTGTAGGGAGGGGAAGGGAAAGGAGTTTGTAAGCCGCTCTGAGACACCTTTGGGTAGTGACGGGCGGGGTATAAATCCAATCTCTTCTCTTCTTCTTCAGCCCTGAAACTGCACAAGCAGTGCATAATGTGGTTTTAACTGGTGCTCAGAGAAGAAGGCACTGTGGCTGGGGCAGGTAAAGGCTTCATTGCTGTAAAGTATCTTTGCTCCTTTCCATTATGAGAAAAATAAAATTAAAGGCCAGGCTTTTCACACACACACACACACCCTTATTGAGTAGTTGACTGGGTATGGGGGGGGGATTATATCAATATATCTAAATCTCAGCATTGCCGGATCTGTGGCTGCTTGAAGCCAGATACTGGAGCCATAGAGAGACCAGAAAGATGTTTCTACAGACATGAAAAGCCCCAGGTTTGCAGAAAAATCTGAAATCTTAAAAAAATCTATATTGGAGGATTCACACACACACACACTCCAATAACAGAATCAGATCCTGTACGTTTAAGAAACAAATGTCCCTTTCACTGGCTTTTTGGGGATGGCGAGGTAGGCAACCATAACAGTATTGCCAGCCATCAAGCCTTGGTTTGTGCAGTAAAGACAGGAGGGAGAGCGTGGTGTCCCTTCCAAGGTTGTTTTGGCCTCTGAGGGAGTAGTTGGGGCTAGGCCTGACAGCAACCACCAAACAACTCACTACTGCACTACTTGCAGAACTCACCCAGGCCCGACTGCTTGCTAGTGTTCAAAATCAGCCACCCTTCAAAAGCCAGTGTGGTATAGTGGTTAGAGTGTCAGACTGGGATTTGGAGGCCCAGGTCTAAATCCCCACTGTGCTATAGAAATTCACTGGGTGCCTTTGGGCCAGTCACATATTCTCAAACTAACTTACCTCAGGATAAAATGGAGTGTAGGATGATGTAAGCTGCTTTGGGTCCCCATTGTGGAGAAAGGTGGGGTAAAAAAGAAGTAATAAATATAGTGGAAGATGGGGGGCAGATAAAGGGTCGATTGATTGGTGGGTGGGAAAGAAAGAAGGAAGCAGGGAGAGGATAGGGGATGAGGGGGCTGCCAAGAGCAGCAAAAGAGGAAATAAGTGTGGGGTGGGGGTGTCAAGAGAGATGGTCACCTCTGTATCAATTAATCTGACAGTTTAAACATCAGCATTTGGCCCGGTCATATATTGAAAGCAATAGCCTGTTTCCTGAGGTGACATCCAAACATTAAAGAATAAGGTGGGGAAGGTTCCATATCAAGCACTTACCATTCTTCTGCTGTTCCCAAGCCCAGATAAAAAGCTTAAGATCGCCCCTTTGAATATCAAAGTGATCTGACTTAACAACACTCCAATGGAAGGGGGGAGTTCTGCTCTTCTTCAAAAATTATCTTTTGGGTCACGTTCTTGATTGGTTTATAGTGGCCCAGTTTTCCTACAAAGTTGGCTTGTGACCATCTGGCACAAGTTTCTCCACGCATGGCCCACTAATACCATTAGGGCCAGGGACCATCTTGCTGCATCTCCAACCTGCTGCTTTGTTACTTATGCTGGTTTGAAGCTGTTGTATCCTGCCTGCCTTCACGTATATAGATTTTGTTATTTTATTGCACCTGCTTATTCTTGCCTTAAGCCTGAACCATTTTCCACTCTTTTCAATAAAGCTAGTTGCTTTTATTGGTGTGCTCTACTGCGTGTGTGAGTGTCAGAAAAGGATTTGTTCCCAGGTTCCAAGTCTGGGGATAAGGGAATTAAATAATCCTTGCAAGGATGTGGTGGGACAGAAACACCCATCTTTAATGGATAACTGGGCCCGTCAGCTGGCACCACACAATTCAGCCAGAGTTTCCCTGGGGAGAGACTGCCATGGGGAGGAAAGAACAAAAAATTAAAGGGGGTGTGGGGACAAAGGTAGGTAGGCTGGTTACTGGGAATGAAACTATTGGGGCTTTCGAGGAAGGGAAGAAAAAAACAGTGGCCTTTCTGATTGCTGTCACCTCTGCGAGGTGAGTTGGAGAAATACTGGCTTTCAGACACGACACGCCTTACTTGTCCTTTTTGCCAGACGGTGTCCGCCTCGTCCCTGACATCTCATTCCTGCCAAAGGTAGTGTCAGAGTTCCACCTACAGGCAGAGGTCTTCCTCCCGGATTTCTTCCCGACTCCAACATCCTCGGAGGACAGACTGTTACACACCTTAGATGTGAAACGTGTGCTCCTGTTCTACCTGAACAGAACCTGTCCAACGAGACGTGACTCCCAGCTGTTCGTCTTTTACGCACCAGCAAGGCTGGGGACTCGCATCACAGCTCAGCGCCTCTCAAAGTGGATTGCGGGTCTCATCCGCCTCTGCTACCTGATTGCCAAACAGCCATTGCCTGGCCCGATCAGGGCCCATTCAACTCGAGCTGTTGCAGCTTCCACTGCCTTCCTCCAGGGAATTCCCCTGATGGACATTTCCAAAGCCACTACGTGGGCCACGCCTAATACCTTCATCAGGCACTATGCCCTAGACGTCCGCAAAAACTCTAATACCAACATGGGACATCACATTTTATCTATGGCTACGCAGTAAGGACCTGCCAGCACCCTCCTCCAGGTAGGCCACTGCTCGCTAATCTCCCATGGGTGTGAGGCACAGAGACCACGTTGAAGATAAACAGGTTGCTTACCTGTAACTGGTGATCTTCGAGTGGTCATCTTTGCATTCACACCACCCGCCCTCCTTCCCCGCTGCTGTCAGCTTCTACATTTTTAATAGGGGTTGATTTGCGGCGGTTTGTAGGAACTGGTGGGATGTCTGCGCCCACCCCTCTGGGCATGTGCGGTGGGGTTCCTGCGCATGCCTGAGGGACTGGGCGCGAAAATCCGTTAAAAGAGCTTGCTACAGCACCGATCGATCCAGCGTGTGCGCACTAGATCCCATGGGTGTGAATGCACAGATGACCACTCGAAGATCACCAGTTACTGGTAAGCAACCTGTTTTTATTCATTAGGTAAGAATAACAGCAAAGGAACAGGATTCTTAAGAAATAGAGTTCACTAAAATTACAATCTAAACTTTGCAGATTACAATAGGATATGGTGCAAAAAAAAAAAAAAAGGATTCAGAAAGATTCCCCAGCTATGGGACCTAGCCAGAAAACTGAGGCTCATGATAAATACAGATGAGAGACACAAATTACTTGGGAATAAGCACCATTGAGAATGAAGTCAGACATCCGTCTCTCAAAAAGTACTCAATTGAAAGAAATACTTTAAAATATTTGTACTCACCTAAAACAAATAAGCTGGCTCACAAGCATAAAGTAAAGATGACTGGTGGGGAAGAAAAATTAGGGAGATATGTAAAGTGAGTTGTATTCTCCATGGAGAGGAGTCATGTTAGCTGAAGCCTCCAGATCTTCACTTAGATTGTCATTTCCTCTCCTTGCCGCAGGAGGCTTTATATTTTTTTAATTTACATTAGATAATCATTTTGAAAAGGCACTAGAATATCATTGCCCTGACCTGGATGGCCCAGGCTAGCCCAATCTCATCAGATCTCTGAAGCTAAGTAGGGTTGGCCCTGTTTAGTATTTGGATGGGAGATCACCAAGGAAGTATAGAGTTGCTATGCAGAGTCAGGCTTTTGCCTTGAAAACCCTATGGGATCACATTAGTCAGCTGTGACTTGATGGCACTTTCCAACACCAGAATATTATATCTTTCTTTTTCTTTTCTATTACCGTTCATTTGACCCAGTGGTCCTGAACAGCTACTGAGAGTTTACGGTTAAGAAGCCAACAGAAAGCTACCCATATAATGGGATTGCATCTGCGAGCTCATGCCCAGCCCAATTGTTTAGAACGATTCGGTCTTTGATGGTTCTGCCACAGGGCAGACAAAAAAATAGGGAATTGGATATTGGCTGTGAGGCATTTGCGAGCTATTTTGCGGATAAAGTCTTGGCGCTCTGCCGTGATCTCCCCACCACAGTTCCCCCCCCCCGAAGGGGATCTTTTTTATTGCATTTTCTATAACTAAACGCTACATGAAAAAATAGGGAAGGGTCTACAAACTATGGGATAAAGAAAAGAAACCTCTAAAAAACCAAGAGTGGGTGTCATACAAACAGCTTTAAAAAGATTACATGTTTATATAACTAAGTTCTCATGTAAAACCATTGAACATGTTCATCAGCCTTCTTTTAAACTGCCTCCCTGGTTGGTTTTGTGCTTCTAATGTATTTGAAGAAAATTTTATGGTTGGTCTTTATGTTTTTTGCAATATGCTCTTCATACTCCCTTTTTGAGCTGGTCAAAACACTCTAAACCCAAAATTGAAGACGCAGAAGGGGCCTCGAGTTCACTAACTGTTTCAACTGTGGCGGGGTGACTTCCGGTTTCGGCGCTTGCCATGGCGGTCACTTTCTCCCGGACCTCCGGGAGACAATCGCCAGAACCCGTGGCAAGGAGGGGGTGCGATCGTCCGCATCCCCCACGGAGCCCTTG